TTGTACACCTTTGAAGTCCCTCCGCTTGTGTCAAACTCGGCTGATGCTATCTCCAATTAACTCTTGGATTGTTTGCAAAAGAGAAGAAACAGAGACCCACATCCCCGTGGACATCACCACCTCACATGCTCACCTCTCTGTGAAACCAGCCTAAAACCACTAAGTCTAGTACCATACAACCCAGAGGTGCCAAAGCCGGTAGGACACAAGTCCAAGGGGTACTGTTTCTCCAGAGCATTTTGAACGGACAGGTCAGGCTACTTCAAGGTTGGCTAAGGACAAATGCGTTCTGTGCATACGCACAGGTATATTTGCAAATTGGGCACATCAGCTACAAACACGTACAAACCTCTGATTTTGCGTGCAGACGCTGGAAGCTGTGCAAGTCTTCAGTCACCAGGTATGTGCATGAAGCCACACATACCTAAGGTTGAAAACCCGGCTCTTGCAATCATTACCACAAACTGATTCTTGGTTCTCCTCTCCTAGACGTTATTTGGTACATTAAACAACAAGGTTTATTTACTTCCAAGATCCCTCTCTGCTCCAACCATTGATAATGCATTTTAAGTTACAAATCACTACGAACTTCAAATTAGTTGCTACAGCAGAAGCAGACTGCCATGGGGATTAAGATTTCATTTAAACAAACCTAAACTATGAATTTCAGGAGAAGCAGCAACTGGCAATTTAAGAATTAAAATATGTTCTTACAGAAAATGGCTTTCAATAAACAAGAGGAAGAAACCAAATACTTAACACCAGCTGTTAGTGAAGAACTCTTTCATTATATCATAACAAGAAGAAAAACAAAAAGGGGGGGGGGACATTAAGTGACTTGCACTTGGAATTAAAAATCCAGCCATTGACTTGGGCCCTGGATATCCCAAATAACTAGGAAGCAAACAAATGCACTGTATGAAACAATTTTTTTATTCCTGGAATCATCACCCACTCTGGATTAATGAGTATCTCCCGAGCAATACTTCAATATGCACAACACTCGAGGCGCATAGTTAAGATTATGGAATCTCAGCCACTCGTTCCTAGACCCTAGAGCAAAAGCAAAGTAATTATTTTAAGCTGACTTACCTTAATAAACACCGTGACCTTTGTAAAAGTTTAGGTCAGGATTTTTAGAAGTCGCTAGCTATTTCTGAGACTCTAACATGAGACATCCCTAAAAAACAGACCGTGTACCACTCTCTGAAAACCAGATACTTGCTTTATGGAGACTTACCTCGCTGCATTTAAGAAGGCATTAAATATCAGCTGATGCCTGAAAACCTTGGCTTTATTCTGACATTCCACAAAGGAATGCAGATACGAATGCATGCGCTGTAATAACAGCTTTGCAAAATTACTCATGCAAGCACTTAACACCAGCCTCAGGTGGAAAAGGACTATCGGAGAAAGCAACACCAGCAAGACCAGCCTTTGCTCTGCCTGGTAACCAAAGACATTGCCAAGCTATGTGAGAACCCACTAGATGAGAACCCGCACCCAACCATCTGCTAAAAGCAACATTTTCACCCGCGGAATTAAAAGCTCATTTTTCTTCAGAGCAAGACAGGCAGTCCACAACTCCCCTTCTAGGAGGGCTGCGGGAGCCCTCGGCTGTCGGAGCCGTGATGGATTTACACAGGATTCGAGCTGTACAAGCAGAGAGCGAGCTGAGCATCCCCCCCTGCCCCACCAGCTCTTCTTTTGGGAGCGCAACTCCCCGACAAGCAACTACACGGCCTTGTTGTTTTGTGCTGACAGGATTCCCACCGCCCCTGTGTCACGAGCTGAGCCAGCTCTTTTGTCTGCCGGCTTGTTCTACAATTATTTACTCGGCTGTCCAAGCCCGAATAGAACGCGGCTAGATCTCTGTAGTAGTTTTCACCTTTCCACCGTCTTCATACCACATACTTTCCAGGCAACCTTAACCTTACACTTTCAAGATGTGTTTTCCCCCCAAGGACGTTTTAGAAGAAAAAAATCCACACTCGAAAGAAGAAATAGAAGCGACTTTTTCTCCTCTTCTGCGAGCAACAGCCATCGTGCATACCACAAATACTCCCAGATCAGATCTAGCTGGAAATGGCATATACCTACAGGTTATTAGCCTCCAGTCTCAACAGAAGCTAAAACAAAAATGACAAGTTCAGGAATCGTTTGGAAAATTTACTGAACACATGCCCTTCTCCAGCTGACCCAGGTTCTTCTACCAAAACAAGGGTTTTTAACAGACAAAACGAAAAGCTCAGTAGCTTCAAAGCACATATCTGCAATGAAAAAAATTTCAAACAGTGCTTGCACATGGGCAGTGTGCTACCATTTAGCTTACAGAATTACGTGGACGACCCACAGTTATACGCAATTTTTTTTTTTTTGGCAGCCATGCCAGCTAACAGTTCTTGTCTGCCTGTCCATCTGCTTATTCCTACCTCCGCACAATCCCCCTGCTCACCGGCTCTGATGTGGTATACTGCAGTTAAATTTTTACTCTCTGGTATGCAGACTCCACTGGTGAATGCAAACAAGTTGATCTGCAATATTTACCCTACTCAAGGTGAATATACTTCACCATCATCATTAATATTTTGCACCTCCATATCGCCTTCCGAGCATGCCAAAGCACCTTAATAACTCTGCTCAGCAGCATGTCTGCGAACATAAGCCAGGCCTTGTGGGCCAGACCAGCAGTCCGTCTCACCCAGTACTCCAGCTTCATCAGTAGCATCCGGGGATAGTATTTAGGGAGAGCATGTGAACCTACCCACTTTCTGCCATCCGTTTTCCCTTCGTAATTTCCCACCATCTAGGGGTGTTGTATTGGGACTGTTAGAGCACATCCCTGATACTCCTTTAAAATCCATTTATGAACTTGATATTCACACATTTGTCTAATCCCTTTTGGAGCCTGCTGATACTGTCTGCCTACCAACAGCGAAACAGAGATTCATTCAGTCCAGCGGCAAGAAGAAATTATTTTTAATTTTGCCTCCAAGTCAATCTTTGTGCACCTCGGCTTCCAGAATAAATTGGCCTGAAATCAGACTAAGTTAAGCTGCAACCTGCTCCCAAAATACTTGAAGAATACTGCTGAAATGCAACAAAAGTGGGCCGAAGCAATTAGGTCAGTATTAGTACAGCAATCATAAAATAATTCTCTGGATAATATTTTTCATAGTCCACATCTAACGACCAGATCCGGCATGTTTGTAGCCATTTATCTTTCCAGAACACGACAAACGGTCTAGGAATCAAGCCTATTAATTCAGTAACCTTCACAGGACTCGCAAGATAGGCAAGTATTGTAATGAAGCACAAGGACATACTTGTTCACACTGGAGCACTGGCCAAGCTAGAAATAAAAACAGCCAAAGACTTCATTTCTAAGTTTACGCTTTGGAAAGTGATCCCCTAACATCAGAGTCCTGCCTACTATTTTACACTCAGAGAGACCAGAAAGGGGAAGTTTTTTCTGTCAGTCACTACAATCCAGGAAATTCTGAAGCAATTTCTCCAGTGACTGTCACCTGACCTACAGACCCACCTCATTTCCCTACTAGGGTTCGAGTAACTCCTCTTTCAAACCAAGCCATCTTGAGAAACAAGCACAGAGCAGTAGAGCAGCAATTGGCTCTCCGGTGAATCCAGTGCACCTCGATTGCTTTGCCAGCATGGTTTGTAGCTCTGGCACTCACAAATGCCGCTCACCTGGCAACTTGCAGACATCCCTGCCACATGCATCAGTGTAGGAGCAAGCACACAGACATACATACATTTGCAGGACCTGCAGGGCAAGACCCTACAGGCAGCATTAAAAGGTATGGGAAAGGAAATTAAGCTTGCTGAACTTTAAGAATTCCTCCTCAAAGTGCTGCCCACAACAGCATAAAGCAAATTTTCTTATAAATCCAACCAACTAGGGGAGAGTCTGCCCTACGAGTGCTCAGAGCAACCTTTCAAACATCCATGGTTTACCAGCCGCCACTAAGCAGCTCCAGCCCTTCTACCTCATAAGGTTTGCAAAGGGTGCAGGGGGTGTGGATGTCTACTTTTGTCTGTGCAAAGTTTCTTAGCTCAAAGAACTCTGCTATCTGAAGCAAAACCTAACTCTGTTCACGCTCAGGCCACTTTCTGCGGAAAAGGACAGTCAAATCCAATTTGCTTGCTTCAACAATGTAGTCCTTGGGCCCAGTACATACATAAATGCTGTAAGTGTCCTTAAAATCTGTTCAGGTTAGCTCAGTAACAAAACAGCACACAAGTGTTATGTTAACTGAAATATCCACTTATGCCAAAGCACAGCTGAGAGAAGAATTCTTCACCCTCTGGCATTTATCTACAAGCAGTGGTGACTCTTCATTCAAACCAAGCATTCATCTCCTACCATAACCAAACGATAGCAAGTTAGCTCCTTCGCTCCCACTCACAAAACATAAAATGGCTCTCTTACTCACAGGATCAGAGGCAGAACACGTAGTCTTCTCTGCCCATCCACAGAACACCAATCAGAAATCTGCCCAAAAGTCACTGCAGCCAGGAGGTCTTACACAAAGGGGTTATAGTTGTGTGTGAAATAACTTGAGTGAGATATTAGCAGGCAAGTGTCTGCACCAAAAATAAATACAGCACCAGCCTGCCCCATCCTGAATGGCTCAGCAGCCGTGAGACAGAAGACAAGTGAGCCACAATCGCAGCCTTCCACCTCTTCACAAAGGCTGCTACAGATTGGGGTTGAACAGGTTTTTTTTCCACTTGTTCTATCACTAGCTAGAAACCTCTATCAGTAAAGCAACTGGAGGTCTTGCGAAATCTCTTTTTATAAAAGGAGAACCTGAAAGAATGCACTAAGGAAGTATTGTTCTGCAGATGCCCCGTTCCTGCTCTCTTTCCAAAGCGCTTGCAGACAGCCAGGGTTTAAAAGAGGATACTGGGCTAAAGAAATCCTCAGTCTGACCGACTACGACCATTCTTATTTGGAAAGAAGCAACGTTAACACTGACCTGCTTGAGCTGCTCATCCAGCCTCCAGTTCTGACGCCCAGATGGGGAACCCGAATACGTTTGCTTAGTAGTGTCTTTACCCTGTTCTTCTTTCCCCTGTTGTCCCCGCTGGTGCCCCGAAACTGGAAGAGGATTAGAGGTAGAAGCCACTCTTTGGTTGTGATGGGTAACTTTGGGAGCATGAAAATATTTCAGAGCAGAGCAGGTGTCTTTTCCAGTCACTTCAGCGCCATCCTCAAGCTCTCCACCTTCCAAACCCCCTTCGTCTTCCTCATCTTCTTCCTCCTCTTCTTCATCCTCCTCTTCCTCTTCTGGCTCTGAATTCATGCTGCTCTGATCAAAAGCTCGCGTAGCCCCAGCTGCAGGTGGGCCTCTGGCCAAAGGACCAACAGCAGAGCCGCCCGAAGGCCTGCCAGATGTGGCTGGGAGAAAGCCTGCAAGACCAGCCTGCTGTACTGCCAGCTGCTGAGTATACAGCAGCTGGGCTTCCCTCATCTGCCTCTGCTGTCTCTCCCTGGAATCCATCTGCAGAGGAGCTTGCTGCTTCTGCTGCTGCTTCTGCAGCTGCTCGACCACAGCTTCCAGCTTCATCCCGCAGTTTGCATGGCTGGGAAAAGAGGGGGGGCCTTTTTGACTTTATCTGACAGGGTTCAAGCCCCGACCTTGGGAGATCGGCAGAATCTGAAAGATAGACAAATATTTGTCTGTATGAATATAAAATGCTTTCATCTTTTCCCCAGGAAGAGGATAAATAGAGTGCAATGCCAATACTCTTTCCTGTGCAGGAGACCGTGAAACAATCAGCTTCATGTTTAACAGCCTCAGGCTCAAACTTGCATTCAATTTTCAGACTGTTTAATTGTATTTTCAAGCTGAACACATTTGCTATAACCTCAGTTTCATATACGCCAAAGACAGCATCCGAAACGCCTTTGTCCACTGTCCCAGCAGTTCATTTTTGACCAGAGCCTTCCACATTTACTAAATAATTACTTTTGAGATATTAGATTTAACATTAAGGTTCTGGTTCTTCTGAAAACACTACCTTACAAGGAGATACCCAGGATAATCGTCTTGACTCTATTTCTATTAAAAAAACGTGCAAGAGATTATCTCTCTAAATTATTTTGTGGTTTCATTATTTAGGTTCTTCATATATCTTCCTTAAAACCATATTTCTAACTATTATTTTTCCCAAGGAAAGTGTCGGAGAAGAGTAAAAAAGGTCACCCTATCCTGAAAGGGATGATTAAGCACTGAGCAACTTCTGTCTCCGATTCCAGGAGTTGCCAGTGGATTTCAAACCCCGGCTGTGGTCTCCCTTTGATTTTCCCAGTCAAGGGACCCCGAAAGCTTTACTAGCACTCCATTTTGACCTGCAGCAAACCTGTGCTGAGCCAGCAACTCCGGACTCCTCTAGAGCAAAGACTAACCGAAATGACTGCAGTCAGCCACATAGTTCAGATCTGCAACAATCCTAGAAGGATGACTATGCCTTTAATTCCCAAACATTAAAAATAGCATGTGCATTTTGGACTTTGTGTCACAAACTGAACTTGCTGACAAAGAGGGTCTTTCTCAGCTTCTGTTTTTTAACGTGAAAAGAAGCTTTAACAGATCTCACTTGCTGTCCTCAAGGTTCATTGATACCAAAATACAGTCAGTTTGGAGAAACAAAGGAAAGGCAAACTACAAACAAGCTAAGAAGTCTCCTAGCCACCTCCCACCACAGTGTTTACAATCAGCACTGTGTTATTTAAGCCAACCAAAACCAAGTACTTGAAAAAGACTATTTTGCTAACACAGGTTTTCAAAATGGATACGTTTCTGTTCTAAAACAACAAATACCCTAACAAATCCCAGTTTCAAAAGTGAAAGACAGCTTCCAGTATCCCGAGAGCAACTCAGCGGCTGCCTCTAACATATTAAAATAGTCTCTTCCACAAAGTGCCTGCAAACTACAATGCCAAACTCATTCTTCCCTCTGCAAACCGTTCCCTGTGCTATCCAAATGCTCCTCACCAAAATGAAAAGCCTCAATGATATATTAGCATTTGTATCTAGTAGACAGAGATATAGCTTTAGCTTGCAAATGAAACAATATAAAGTGGATTAGTGGTTTGAACGTCAGGAGCAATAACGCATTACCTGGCAGCTGAAAAGAGTCTTATACTCGTTTCTAAGTCACAATACACCATCTGGCCTAGTTCCACGCACATTTCCAGTACAAGTAACAAGGAACTGGAACACGTATTGCAATAGTAACCATACACCACATTGGGCATCAGAGAACCCACAGCACATATACACAACTCCCGCCACACACCTTATTGTATATTGTTGCACCTGAAGCATGTTAAGGTGTCATCTATCATGCCTTGGGGCTATTCAACAGGGCGTGCAGTTAATACGTGCCTCAGGTACATTACAATAATAAATGACCTGATACGTGGTTAACGTGTCAAGCAAACACACCTCAGGTGCAGTAACACCCTGGTATGCAGTTCCAGCGTATTTCCCAGGGTTCAGATACAATAACGTGCGACAGGTTACGGCAAGATTTATGCACGGCTCCTAAGCGTTCTGATTAGACCTGAACAAAAAGCTCAAGAGCCTCCAAAGAGATGAATTTTGAGAACAGCGAACACACCCTCAGCAAGTATCAATGTTATTATGAAAAGGACAGTCACCTTTACAGAGAGTTTTAAGTCAATAAAGAAATGCACTTCTCACACAAATTAAATACGTCACAATATCAGGTTAGAGCTTAAGAAAACAATTGCATCTGGACTAGTAAGACAACAGTAATAGACCACTTGAAGTTTTAACATCCATTTTACCCTTCAGCAGGGATATTTGCTCACTTTTTGCATTTCAATCAACCAAGGCAGTGAAAGGATTCAGTTTAACTTTCAGGTCCTCATACACCAGCCTTTGTGTGGATTTTAATCCCTGGGAGAGCAGTTTAATTAAACAGCCACTCGTTTTGAATTTTTAACTAGTTCTATTTGCAGTATCGTTATATTTCAGAGCACTTCTTCCTCTACCTGAATAAAGCTTGAGTAATAAGACTAAGTTCTTGCTAGGTAAAAGACATTTCCAAATGTAAGCAACCTGAAAGAGTTGAAGTGTAAAATTAGAAGTCATCAAGGCAAGCCTTCCTCCCAGCCATGAGGAAGGGAGAGGTTTTAGAAAGTAGTAAACAACACCGTTAACGTTCTCTGTTCTCAGACAGGCTTCTCAACGCACTGGCTGTTTTTCCCAGAGACCTTTACTGCCCCACAGCCACCACTTCACATCCCTTCCTGCCCCCCAAACTCCTTGAGAGGTCACATCCCGAGGAAGGATCGCTCTAACCCATGGCCAACCCTGCTCCTCAGTGGCACCCCCAAATTGGCCCCAATGCAGCCAGTTAGGCCCAAAGCCCCATGCCTGGGGGGCTTCTGGCCCGTGGGGACCAGGACCAGCCCCTGCCCCATGCCTGGCCTGTCCTGGGGACCCCACTGCCTGGTACCGGCCCCCAGTGTGGGCCT